AAAAAAAAAAAAAAAAAAAAAGATTTAAAAATATGCATTTTAATCATATATTTAGTATGTACGTGTAACCGCTCCCTAAGATGGTTGCAAACTGCATGAAATGCAAACATGTACTAATAAAGCAAAATTTAAAAAAAAAAGAGAACATAGTTAAAATATTCTTAAACACTGCATTTCAATGGTACACCAGTGTAATCCTTTTCAGGACATTTCAAAGGGCAACTGATTTAGAGCGTGAGAAAATAGCTCTGCCTGTGTCCAGACAGCGACGGCAGGTGCGTCACAACTGCCCTCTAAGACTAAATTATGCCATTAGGTAATAAATGTAAATAATACACGTGGCTTAGAATCAATGAAATGTGCTACTGATTTTTTAAAAAAAACCTTTCATCTGTTTGTATCAGTAGAAGTTATCCTTAAGATTATTTTTCCACATACCTTAATAGAATTTAGTTTATTTATTCGTGGTCTATAGTTGTTTGGATCTCTTCTGAATGTAATTTCCAGCTGAGACAAAAATTTGTTCATGCCAGCCAAAAGGGTCTGAGGACTAGGATGAGAAAAAAATATTAAGTTGATTAAAAAAATTTTTTTGGAGATAGATTCTCAGTATATAGTTCTGGCTAGCCTCAAACTTACTATGTTGTGCAGGCTGACCTGAAACTTATGGTGATCCTCCTGCCTCAGCTTCCCAAGTGCTGGGATTATCTGGTAATTTGATTAAATTTTATCCCCTAAATGTAGTAACTTTTTGGGATGAAAAATTAAGACTTACTTCTAATTCTCCAATCATACGTCATCTGGATAATGTTATTATCACCACATACTATAAATTTCATGTTTCAAAATGGATTTGCTTAGGCAATAGTTGGCTATAATATTTTTGAGCAAAATTAGCATAGTTAAACCTGAATTTCTGATGTGTAAAACTAAACATTTAAGACAGAAGTATTTATTTACTGCAGTATTGGGACTCAAACTCAGGATGTTGAACATGCTAGGCAAGGGATCTAGCATTGAGCTAACCCCGGAAGAATTACTTCAGAAAAACTAAAGACCACCAATAAGATTTACAGAATCTCAGCATTTTTAGGCAGAGAAAATTTAACAAAAAATTTGTATTTATACAAGCGGAAAAAAATGAGAACCAAGACCTGTCAGGTGAAGGTACAGGATCCAAGTAATGAAAGTAACTGTATTGTAGACCTAGATTGTACCAATAAACTCAATTTAAAAAAAAAAATTGTATTTATGCTAGAAATTTGGTATTGGGAGGGGATATGAACTTCACAGTGGTTTTTAGTAGTAACTCCTTTTATTCTTTGTTCATCCTTTTCACTCAAACTAGTTCCTAAATTAGCTAGATAAGAACATAGAGATGAATTATTTGAAGCATTTTATAAATACAAAGAGATAATTACAAATAAATTTTATGTTCTAAGAAAATTCTCTAACTCTTCAAGAAAGATAAAATTCTCAACAACTGATATAAAAATTTAAAATGAAAACAGGAATTCTGCACAGCATCATTCAGGCAGCAATCTCATTCCTCCATCAATAATAACAGAAAATACTATGTTAGAATCACAGGTAACTGCTATACATGGGTCAAAATTGTTTGAATATTGGTAATTTCTTATGGTTAATAATTTTTTGATAAACAGATATGCAAGTGAAACTTCTCTGTATCCCAATCAAGCCAGTCAGCAAAAATGAGAGAAGAAAGAGTAAACTGATTCACTTTAACACTGCTGAATATCAGTACCTATCTATATCAGGTAGTTGGGATTTACTGCTAGGTTAACCACTGTTAATTTAAGTTGGGGCAAATCATACAAGTTCTTTGGATCTTCTTTTTCTATCATAGAAATAAATCAATAGTTTCCATAGATTTATTTTTTTAAAAAATTTGTTTGGAAATCTAAATACTGGAGGAAACAAAAGTTAAGCTGAAAGAAAGGTGAGGGGGATTCACAGGTCTTTATGCTTATGCCCTTGAATCAGGATATCATCTACACCCTAAAACTATTCTACATGGTTCTATCTAGTATTCAAGAATCTTTTAAGTCACAGAATAAGGTACAGAATTCCACTTAAAAAAAGAAAAATGGTATGCCTTTATAGTTTATAAACTTACTGGGAATTAACAATAACGTTAGCCAAACTCATGGCTAACAATAAAGTTAACTCATGGCTAACAATAAAGTTAGCCAAACTCATGGCTAACTTTTGAACATTTAAAAAAAGTAATTTAATGGGCATGGTGGCACATAATTATACATAATCCCAGTACTCTGGGAGATTTGAGGCAGGAGGATTTCAAATTTGAGCTCAGCTTGGGCAACTCAGACTCTTTCTAAACAAAACAAAACAAAAAAAACCCAGAGATGTAGTTTGGTGGGAGGGCCCTGGTACGTTCAACCTCTGGAACCAAGTAAATTAATACATACATACATCATATATGTGTGTGAGTGTGTGTGTATAACATACATACATATTACATATTACTTTTACCTGTTTGCAACTGTGTTCTTAGACGGAACACCATCAAAAACGATGACCCGATCTGCCAGATAGGTGGCCATGATGAAGTCATGTTCCACAACAAAGGCTGTCTTCTTTGCATGGAGTATGAAACTAAAACAGGATTTGGAAATCTTTTATAGCTTTCTATAACCAAACATTCAAATATCATGTTAAGCACAGTAGCATGCCAGTACACACAATCAAAAGTAACAAGCTTAGGGGCAGGACTTTTACCGTTTGACAACCCGAGCTGCCATCAATCTTTGCTCAGAGTCCAAATATGCAGATGGTTCATCAATTAAATAGACATCAGCAGGTTTGCCCAAACAAAGAGCTAAAGCTACTCGCTGAAGTTCACCACCGGATAATGTCTGTACCTAATGGAAGAAGTTTAGCAAACTGAACATATCCAAAATCTAAAATAATAAGTTGAAAAATAATGAAAATAATTATGCTAAGAGTACCTCTTGATCAATGATGTTTTCAATTTGCAAAGGCTTCATTACATCAGTGACAAATTGTGGATGAGTGTAAGCATCTCGTATCTTTTCATGTAGTAACTGGCGAACACTTCCCTGGTTTCAGTGGAAAAAAGACAAATGACAAAATGTTAGCACAGCACTTTCACTTAACGAAGCAAAACTACAGAAAAAAGCTTTTATCAATCTGTCACCAACACATACCTAACTGTATTTTTAATGTCTGTCTATTCATCATCTGTGGCATTTTTGAGATTTTAAAAATTTAATTACTATCTTGCCCAATAAGTAAAAAGGCAATAATCCTAAAAAAAAAAAAAAAAAAAAAAAAAATTGGGGGGCGGGTACCGGGTATCCAACTTGGGTCCTTGTACTTGTGAGGCAGGCACTGGAACCACTGAGCTAAATCCCTGGCCCAATAATCCTAAAATTTAAAATTAGCAAATGATGAATGTTTTAGGAAAGAAATCTGTGAATAGAAATGATTTTGAAGGTCAAAATAGGTAGGAGTAACCTTAGAAAATCAGTAGGAGATGATAACGCAAAAGAAACCATGCTGCTCTATGGTTGAATCCCAGGATGCCTTTTGCTTGTTACTTCAGGATGGGGATGGGGTTGAGAACTTAAAAGATAAGATTATAAGTTAAGCAATTTGAAATAATCGTAACATTACAGGTGCTGAAATGCAGAAACAATAATTAAGTTCACTGCCACACGAGTAGAAGTAAAAAGTTAACTTTAATAAACATTTTCAACAGATGAGAGACATTTTGGGTATTCCCATTTTTTGGTCACTATAAAATTTGCTGTAAATATTTGTCGCCAGGTTTTAGGTATCAAGATATGTGGAAACAATGCTACTCTCACCCCACATTAGGGACTGAACCCAGAGCCTTGGCACTGAACTATATCCTCACCCTTTAAAAATTTTTATTTTGAGACAGGTTCTTGCTAAGGTTCCAACCTGTGATCTTCCTGCCTCAGCCTCCCAGAGTGCTGGGATTGGAAGCATGTGGCATCATGCCTGGCTTAATCTGTGGGATTTTTTTTTGGGGGGTACTGGGGATTGAACTCAAGACTCTGCACTTGTAAGGTAGATGCGGCACCACTGAGCTAAATTCCCGGCTTAAACTGCTGGTTTTTATAACTTTGTACGGAGGATCTGTCAGACTGTTCTTCAAACTGGCTCATTTTATATTCCCACTAGTAATGTATGAGGTTCTAATTTCTTTGTATTATAAGCAATGCCTTTTGCCATCTGTTGGATTTTAGTCATCCTAGTGAACAGGAAATGGTTTTGATTTATATTTCCCTAGTGACTAGTGATGGTGAGCATCTTTACATGTGTTTATTTGCTTCTTTGGAAAAATGTTCCCGTGGGGAGATAATAGTTCATTTTAAAATTAAGTTTTGAGTTCTTTCTATACGTTTTGACACAGATCACTCATTAGATACATGATGTCCAAATGTTTTCTTCCATCTTGTGGGTGGCCTTTTCCCTTTCTTGACTGTATCATTTGAAGCACAAAATATATTAGGTTTATTTTGGAAAAATGCAACAAATTATAAAACTACTTCCCTAGTAGTGGAAATGAATGCCCAAGGCATGCTAAGCACATGTTACTACTGAGCTGAAGCAAGATGGCATGGTGCATGCCTGTTATAATCAAGTCACTCAGGACGCTAAAGCAAGATCACACCAAGTTTGAAGCCAGTCTGGGCAATTTAGTAAGACCTGGTGTTAAAAGGAAAAATAAAAAGGGTTGGGGGCATAGTTCAGTTGTAGTGCACCCTAGATCTTAGGCCTCAACACTATAAAACAAACAAAAAGCTATGGGCATATATAATTTTAAAAACCAAATGAAAGAATAACTCACGGTTGATTTGGGACTGATTTTCTGTGGTTTATAACTGACATTTAGAACTGGCACTTCTCCTGCAAAATAATACAAGTATGTAAGGTACAAAAAAACTGCCCAGATCTTTAAAGTTTATTATAGTGAACAGAAAAAGATTGACACTTAGAGCCATACCTCCTTCATCAGGTTTAAGTCTCCCAGCAAGCATTCTGATAAATGTAGTTTTACCTGTACCTAGCAAAAGAATATAAAACACACTAAATTGAATGTGCTTCATATTTCAAGTAAAGCATAATGTCATGTTTTAAAGACAGAACTTTGTTTTTAAGTATATACATTTACACTGCAGAAGTCCGAAGGTTAAATAGAAAACTTCAATAATTCATGGGTTACCTCTCTAGTATCAATCTAAGCTTATTAGGAGAAATAAAGGCCAGCCCAACTTTATAATTACCATTTTAATGAATGGTTAAGTCTATAAAGCTTAAATCTTGGTATAGTATTAAAAAAACTTAGTTAAATGTGTAAGGCACATAGTTATGCTAAAGTAATGTAGGGTCTTATGATACCTAACTATTATTTAAAGTTCATTCACTGAACAGCTAACTTTGGAATCCACTTGAAAATTTCTGCTGACCAGAGTGGTACAATGCAACAATACTCACATGAAAAATTTCTTCTGTTTTGTTAAGCCGTAAAATTACAATTAAAATTGTTTACTTTTAAGTCATAAAAGGAACACCAAATATTTAGTAGTCAAATTCATCTTACAGGTGTATTTATGATGACAAATCAGCATTAAAAGTGTTGGTGATACAACTATTTAGAAAGGTAGACAAGAGTACACTGAATTTAAAATAAGTTCTAAATAGCAGTATGTAAGGAAAAAAACCTTGATACTAGATTGTTTTCAAATAATCAATTTGGAATCTCATTTCTAGTCATTTTGCAAGATTAATAACTGACTTACTGAATTATACCTAACCCCACTGAATTAAAACAGCTTATTTTCAGTGGAAATTATAAAGAAAAAAAATATTACTTTGACTGACAATATGATTATATGTGAAATATAATATAGTATATAATACTATGAACCATCAAATTCATGGACTTAAAATTCAGCTTTAAAACCTATAACAGGGTCAAAATTCTGAATGGAAAAAGTAAAACTAATTTAATGGAAAACAGATTTGACTCCTGCATTGTTAAAAAATAAGAAAAACTTACCATTTTCCCCCAGCATTACCATGATTTCAGAATCAGTAAACTCTCCAGCTACAATGGCTAGCTCAAACTCTCCCATTTTTTTCTTCATTCCTGGATATTTATACATACACATCTTTTTAACCTCTTCTTCATTTGCTGTTTCAGCCACTTTAAAGACAAGTGATGCATCTCGGAATCTCAAGTTTTCTGTTGGAACATAGCCATCCAAAAAAATGTTTATGCCTGTTGGAAAGAAAATGTCCACAGATTAGTACAGATTAAATAAAAAGACCAAATTTGGGCCGGGGATTTAGCTCAGTGGTTCCACTGCCTGCCTCCCTAGAGTTCAATCCCCAGTACCAAAAAACAAACATAAAAACCAAAACCAAACCAAAACAAAAAAATTCCAAACTTTCTCCAAACCCTAGGATTCTTGGAAGGAATCAATCTGTCTGTCTATCTTTACTGACTTATTTTAAATTTGTGTGGATTTTGATATATGCAAGCCTGCATATAATGAAGTGACAAGTTTTTTTTTGTGTGTGTTTATTATTATTATTTTTTCAGTGCTGTGTATTGACCACAAGGCTTTTTGTGCATGCTAGGCAACCACTGTACCACTAAGCTACATCCTCAAAATGATTTTTTTTGGTGTAAGTTTAAACATTTTATGCATATATATGTATTTGCCCACACATATATCCATATACATAAATGAAACACATCATTTAATTATGATTTAAGATTATTCAGGGCTTTTTTCCATCAGGTTTTATGTAAAACATGTCATTTTTGCTGTATCTTTAAATCAAAATTACAACTTTTTTCTAAAAATGATAACTAATAATGGAGTGTTTTCAGAGATTGAGATTTAACTAATATGAAATAGTTTGGGGAATAATTTTTTAAAATAACCTAAGTTACAAGTATTCAGTTTCACGTGAGATAAAACATATCCCTTTTTTTTGGACTAAATTACTTTCCCTTGAAGCAATGAACTTTTTAGTTTTAGACATGACTGATAAATTCAAAAGTCTCATGGGCAATAGCCTTATACTTTGGGGTTATTACATTTTATTTTATTTTTTTAAAGGTAGTTGAAATGCAGTTTTCTAAGAAACTGAGTAATGAGCTAACTTCATTTAATATTTTTATGGCTTCACTATATAAAGATAACCATCATTATCTAGGCAGACTTTAATAAATCCAAGTAAACTAACACTGCACATGAAAATTACTCCCTACTATAAATGTAAGATCGACGTGGGGGGAAAAAGTGGACTACTTGGGAAAGAATGAAAGGTCTCCAGCACTTCCTGTGCATACAAGTGAAACAAGGGAAAGAGTACAGTAGCTGAAGTTTTAGAATGTCTGGCTTTCATCTGGAATTGAGCCACATCAGGGGGCATGTATCCTCAGTCTAGAACATAGGCTTATGCTAAAACTGCTGAGAGAACATACGAACACTTGCTCTGCCAAAATCAGCAGGCTTTGTAACAATCTAGTTAAGTCTTAAGTGTAAAAAATTAAAACCAAACACTATATAAAAATGAAGGAACTTCTGTATCCCACAGGCCCAATGAATGTGTCAGTTTAGGAAATGAAGTAAATGCTTTGTTCAAAAACACAAAAACTCAAGTCTTTACATTTCTATTGCATTGTTTATCTTGCTGATCTAAAAGTGAGGTCAAACTATAATCACTTTTACAGTTCAGGGAGCTTTTCACATACTCTATTAATTTTCCTTTCAATTTGAAAGGAAAGCACAAAGAGTAAGAAGAGCAGTTTCTTTGTTTTAACAGATGATGCATATCTATACTGTATGTGTGAGGTAAGGTACTCAATAAATATTTTGTTAAATGCAGAAGATAAATAGGACATTAAGGGTTCAGACCACATCCCTTAAGAACACTGGCAAGAAGCTGGGAGTGGTGAAGATAGCTGTAACCCCAGCATTTGTGAGGCTGAAGTAAGAGGATCACTGTGAGGCCAGCCTGGGCTATTGAATTCAAGGCCAGCCTGAAACTATGTAGTGAGACCCTGTCTCAAGACAAAACAACTGGTAAAGAAAATTGGGCAACCTTACAAATATTTCTTTAAAATATACATCCATTTATTTTCAATGTACAGTTAAGTTATAAAAACTTTGTCTTAAAATATTAAGGTATTTTTATAAAAATTATAAAACTTATCACCATCTATGAAAAGGATATGATGCAATATAAAATTTAGTTTTCCAGAGGACTTTTTTAGATATCTCAATCTCTTTGAAGAAGAGACAGACAGGAGACAAAAACAACCAATCAAATAAATTATCACCACTTGGGAAACTACTAAGACTATACGAATTCTTCTAGAATATATTTTTTTCAACACATAGACTAAAAAAGTCTTTTTAGTTTTTAGTGTTCTACACTGTCAGTTAAGACATAGCTGGCTGGTGAAGCTATTCAGATAAAGGACTATTACCTAGAAAAGAGAAAGAAGTAAAAAAAAAACAAAACAAAAAAATCAGACCCCCACCTCCAATTTAAAGATCCAATGCAAAAACGGGCACCTGAAATAAAAAGACACTTCTCAGATGAAGAATTAGAAATGGCAAATAAATATATGAAAAATATTCAACATCACTGGTCATTTGTGAAATGCAAATTAAACCAACGTTGAGACTCTACCTCATTCCTGAAAGAATGGTTGCTACCAAGAAATCAACCAATATACTGGTGGGCCTCTAGGGAAAAAGGAACCCCTTTCCCTTGTTGGTGGGAGCGCAGACTGGTGCATACATTGTGGAGATTTCTCAAAACACTAAAACTAGAGGTTTCATTTTACCCAGCTATACCACTTCTTGGAATCTTCCTGAAAGACTTAAAAGCATCATACCACAGTGATATATGCACACTCATATTTATAGCAGCAGTTTATAATAGCTAAATCTTGGAAACAGCCCAAATGCCTACTAACTGATGAGTGGATAAAGATGTGGCTTTTTTATACAATGGACTACTACTCAGCCATAAAGGATGAGCTTAAGACATTTATCACTAAATGGATGGAGCTCAAGACCATAAACAAGAGTGAAATAAATCAGGCACACATGTTTAAATACTGCAATGTTTCTCTGGTGTGAGAAACCAAAGTGGAAATAAGGACTCAAATGCATAATGGATGTTGGGAAATGGGAAGAAAGTGCTCAACTGGGAAGGGGAACAAAGGAGGGAGGGAGAGAGGAACGGACAAGAAAAAAAGTGAAAATAGGAAAAAATGGAAACCAACTTTATAAACAGGGAAGGGAAGGAGCTTTTGGGGAAAGGAATGGGATAAAATAAAATTTATTTTTAAAAATGACATAGCTTGTGAGAAGAAATATAAAGTAAAAGAAATGGAAAAAAGCAGTGGAAGAAGACAGATTAAAAAAGCCAGGCAAGGCAGGGAACACATCGCTACTTGTTTCAGGAACCATTTAGCGATTAGGAGTTTCTACTTTTGTTTAACTTGTACTGGCAAGGAAGAAACATGGATGAAAGGAGCCAGAGAGACCCTCTTTCCTGAAGGTAGAGGAAATGAGTGAAAGTTTTAATATAATTGTTTTTAGTATATGTGCTGCCATGGCGAGCACTTAATTTTTAGATAGCTTTAGTTCCATTATTTCGAATATAGAGCCCAGACAAATTTGAAATAAGAAAATAAGTTGAGCACTGAATGAAGTTTAAGAGTTTCATTACTAGTACTGGCTTGTCAAAGATAACTGCTGTACACACAGAAACATCAAAGACTTTTTTTTTGTGGTGCTGAGAACTGAACATGCCAAGGGCTCAAACATGGTAGGAAAGTGGTGGAAGACTTTAAAAGTAACAAAAATAGTGACACTGCATTTTTATCCATTCCCAACAGAAAATTCTTCAAAAAATGGGATCTTTTTTGGTAACAACTGATATATATTAAAACCAAAAAAAAAAAACAAAACTTCTTATATATATATACATTCTCCTCAATGATTAACTTCCAAGAACTCAATTTTGCATAATTAGGACAATATAAAACTACTTCGTATCAATAAGAATACATTTCCTAAGCATTAGAGTGGAAAGGAATACAGCTTATGTGAAAACAGTTTTTCAAGTTACCTTCTCTTACACTAAAAGGCATAGTGACAACACCATAAGCACTCGGTACACCGTATAGACAGCAGATGAAGTCAGAGAGATAGTCTAATACACTTAGATCATGCTCCACCACAATGATATATCTGAAAATCAAAATAAACTTTTATTTTAAAATTTAACATAACATATATAACTAAAGCTCTTTATATAACTAAAGTATTTCTTTCTACTAGTTGTAAATTTTAGGTAAGTATATGTATTTTTAAACAACTTAAGTGTAAAGAATATGTTAAGCAAAACTCTAAAATATTTTGTTATCTATGCCTATTATTTAATTTTACCTAAACTAAAAGAACACCAGCTAACGTGAAAGTTTATGAACACACAGAACGTTTTGCTAAGAAACATTTAAAAATAAACTTTACAAAGTAAATATTTGTAGTAGACTTAAACAGTACATCTAATATAGCAGCCTAAATTGTTTAAATAATGCCTGCAGACACCTACAAAAATTTTTCTCCATACTTGCATTAGTGGTAAAAACTTTTCCAAATAGTGCATCATTCTCAAAAAGACCCACTGCATTTTCACTGATACATTCTTTAAATTGACAAGTCTGAATTTGTTCCCAACATCTGGTGTATCAATTTCATTCTTTTCCTTCTCTCGCCTAAGTTCTAATTAAAGCTATTTTCTAAAATATTGCAGTAGAATTTGGACAAATCTCACTAAATGAGTAATATCTTTAGATTCCTTTAAGACCTTCCAAAACTTATCCTTTGCACTTTATTTATAGGAAAAGTGGAAAACTGATTTTTTTCTTGAATAATTTTCTCTATTTTGTATGTTTAAAGGGTTATTTTCTTCCTAGTCTTCTAAACTTTACCTGTTAAAATCCTATTTAACTCTTATGTAAGGTCCATTTCAAATCCTATCAACTCTAGGAGTATCTTTCCTAATATGCAAATGCATTTTCCCCTACTCTTAAAACTCTCATTATATGTATCTGAACTGGTATTTGTCAAACCTCCTGCCTCTTTCCTTTCAGAGCTTGCAGACAGAAATAAAAAATATGATTTTGGTAGGCCACTGTGTTTTTCAAGGGTTTTGGAAGGAAAAAAAAAAAACACAAACAAACTTACAGCATAGTAAGTAAATCAGTTCTGGTAACATTTATATTCTGTAATTAATTTTTTTCTTTTGATATTGGGGAATGAACTCGGGACTTTGTGCTTGAGTCAGGCAGCAAAACCACTGAGGTAAATCCCTGGCATGTAATTAATTTTAGGTTACCTGTTAAATCTTTAACTTTAACTCTATAAAACCCCTTCTATCACTGCCTCTTTTTCTTGTCTTTTCTGTGTTACTTCCTATTTCTACAAAGCTATGATATCCAAAATCTTACAGCATTAAAGACTGAATGTATTCTTTTGACACAGAATTTCAGAATGGATATACATATACTTCTCTTTATCAGATACTGATTATTTTAACTTTAAATGCATAAAAAAAGACTAGCACATCTGTGAAAATGTCTTAATCATTTTTTTTTTACTTATTTGTCTGAACATGTTATAACTCTTACAATTAAGGTTAGTGCCCTTTCTCCCAAGAAAGTCTTGTATAGTATTACTTCTCACTGTTTTTTTCCTGAGGTCCATCTACACTTGCAGTTTATTTCTTCTGGTCTTATACAGAAAAGAGCTTCTGATCTTTTAATATTAAATTTATTCATCACAAATGAATGTAAGCACCTGTTGTCTTGTTTGCCTGAAATTTTCATATTAAAATATGTATCAGCTGGTTGTGAATTACTTTCCCTGTAGTGCTCCTTTTTAGTATGGTTAGGATATTATTTAATATTTTAAGTCACTTATGAAGGTAGAGAATATTATTTATGACTTTTTTTTCTTGGTACCGCAGATCAAACTCAGGACTCTGTTTGCAAGGCAGGTGCAGTGCCACAGAGCTAAATCCCCAGCCCTCTGACTTTCATTTTAATAAAATAAAAGGTTATAAAAACTGGTTTGGGCTGAGAAATACCAAGTTGACTGTTTGCATATTCTTTCCATTACACTGGAGTATGTGTGTATTCCCGTCCTTAGCACAATGCAGTTCTGTTTTTTGTTTTGTCTTTTTTTTTTTTTTTTTTTTTTCC